CAAAGGACAGGAAATGAAGTAGAAATATATGCTAGACAAAGTAAGACAGGTGGCAAAAATAATACCAAATATAAGTGTGTGTGTGTGTGTGTGTCGGAGTTTCACTCTTGTTGCCCAGACTGGAGTGCAATGGTATGACCTCAGCTCAATGCAACCTCTACCTCCCTGGTTCCAGTGATTCTCCTGCCTCAGCCTCCCAAGTAGGTGGGATTACAGGTGCCCACACCACACCTAGCTAATTTTTGTATTTTTAGTTGAGATGGAGTTTCTTTTTTTTTCTTCTTATTTGAAGGAAAGCAGTTTAATTTTATTTCATGTTTTCTACTTGTTAGAAGAGATTTTGGGTATCATGATTTAAAAATACAGGCTTAGCCAGGCGCGGTGGCTCACGCCTATAATCCCAGCACTTTGGGAGGCCGAAGCAGGTGGATCACGAGGTCAAGACATCAAGACCATCCTGGCCAACATAGTGAAACTCCGTCTCTACGAAAATATAAAAAATTAGCTGGGCATGGTGGCGCTCGTCTGTAGTCCCAGCTACTCGGGAGGCTGAGGCAGGAAAATTGCTTGAACCCAGGAGGCGGAGGTTGCAGTGAGCGGAGATCGCGCCACTGCACTCCAGCCTGGTGCCTGGCGACAGAACAAGACTCTGTCTCAAAAAAAAAAAAAAAAAAATACAGGGTTAAACAACAGTGTTTTAACATTCTGTTTTAAACAGTGTTTTAAAATACCTGCTTATTATCTTACAAGAGACAGGGTTTCACTGTGTTGTCCAGGCTGGTCTTGAACTCCTGGCCTCGTGATCCTCCCGCCTCAGCCTTCCAAAGTGCTGGGATTACAAGTGTGAGCCACCTCACTCAGCTGACACCTTACTTTCTTAAAGGATTTGAGTGAAGTTGCAAGACTTTTGGGTGGTTTGTTTTTTGTAGTTTTTTGTTTTTTTTGTTTTTGTTTTTAGATGGAGTTTCACTTTTTTTTTTTCTTTGAGAGGGAGTTTTGTTCTTGTTGCCCAGGCTGGAGTGCAATGGCACGGTCTCAGCTCACTGCAACCTCCACCTCCCAGTTCAAGCGACTCTCCTGCCTCAGCCTCCTGAGCAGTAGTGGCATGTGCCACCATGCCCAGCTAATTTTATATTTTTAGTAAAGAAAGGGTTTCTCCATGTTGGTCAGGCTGGTCTGGAACGCCCCACCTCAGGTGATCTGCCCACCTCAGCCTCCCAAATTGCTGGGATTACAGGCATAAGCCAACGCCCCCAGCTAAGTTTCGGTCTTGTTGCCCAGGCTGGATTGCAATGCCAGGATGTTGGCTCATTGCAGCCTCCACCTCCCGGGTTCAAGTGATTCTCAGGCCTCAGCCTCCCAAGTAGCTGAGATTACAGCCATGCACCATCATACCCGGCTAATTTTGTATTTTTAGTAGAGATAGGATTTCACTATGTTGGCCAGGCTGGTCTCAAACTCCTGACCTCAGGTAATCCTCCTGCCTCGGCCTCCCAAAGTGCTGGGATTACAGGCGTGAGCCCCCATGCCCAGCCAGTTGCAAGTTATTAACACTTAATTTTATTATTTTGCCCACAGTATAGACCTGATTTCAAATACTTTTTTTTTTTTGAGACGGGGCTCACTTTGTCACCCTGGCTGGAGTGCGGTGACACTATCTCAGGTCACTCCAACCTCTGGAGGTTCAAGTGATCCTCTTGCCTCAGCCTCCTGAGTAGCTGGGACCACAGGTGTAAGCCACCATACCCGGCTCCTTTTTTGTAGAGACAGAGTTTCACCATGTTGCCCAGGCTGATCTCAAACTCCTGAGCTCAAGCAGTCCTCTTACCTGAGACTCCCAAAGTGCTGGGATTACAGGCATGAGGCACCACACCCAGTAGGTTTTGAATATCCTTTATTGCACATTCATTTAGAAATTCCACCGTTCTCATGGTTTATAAAGTCTTTCTGGTTCCCCAGCACCTCAGGACTTCCAAGCTACACATGGACACGGGTCTCGGGAGCATTAGCGCCTCCTAGCTTGGCTTCTGATTGAGTCAGTCAAGACCAAGTGGCTGTGGGCTTTGATTCCCCTCAAAGTTTGACCTCGTTTAGAGGATTCTTCTGGCACTGACTTTTCAAGGGACTTAAACAGTTACCCCCAACAGATGGTGAAACCTCCTGTAAATCATTTTTTAGGTCTTTTCTTCCCTTAACAGTCCAAAATGTTTCTAGTAACATCGTGGCATTTTTAGATACTCAGCTTTAGAGTGAAAAAAACCCCTGAAGTTTCACTGGCTTTGTGCCGTTTTGAGGAGCCATGCGTGACTGGGTATGTGATAAAAGTAGTCATTTAGAAACCTATTTAGATGATAAACATAAATGGAAGGCTTTGAATATGAAATTACAAATTTTGGAGATGCTACACTTATATATATTTATGTATAGATAACAGCTTTATTGAGATATAATTCATTTACCATACAATTCACTCATTTAAAGACTACATTTATTTTTGACAGATCACAGTGCTGATAGCTTAATAATGCAATGGGAACTCTGTATAATGGTGGTATTTGCAGTAAGACTAATACCAGATTCAATTCTGTCTGCCTTTTTGTGTATATTACATTTCCATGAATATGACATGACATCCATATCCATTTCATACAAAATATTGAAATAAGGTTCTGCTTGTATTAAAAGAAATGTATCAGTACATTTCTACTAGTATGTTATTTAGGTGATTCATAATTCAACCATTATTATTCAAACAGCATATCTTACATTTTTCCTAATTTAAAACATTACCTGGAAAAAACTTTAATTGGTAGTTTTTAAAGTTACTTTTTTAATATGCACACCAGACAGAAGTTAGACGTTTTAATATTAATATAAACTGCTTTACCCTGGATTAAACTGGAATGTTTCTTGTTTGTAGGGAGCAGCTGCAGATGATGGCCGATTAAAACGAGGGGATCAGATTTTAGCTGTTAATGGCGAGACCCTGGAAGGTGTCACTCATGAGCAAGCAGTCGCCATTCTAAAACACCAGAGAGGGACTGTAACCTTAACTGTGCTGTCGTGAGCCGCAGCCTGATCACAAGATAGATGTTGTTTAGAATATCCACAGGCAGATGAAGTTCTGAGTGGGTATGAAAAGCACCCTCAACTACAATGCACCTTCATTCCTATTTCTTGTCCTCTCTGCTCGGAGAAATGGCTGAGGTTTCATGTGAATTTCCCAAGTCAACAGTCATCTCCTAATGTTTCCCTGTTTTTGTCACCTGTTGGTGAGGTTGATTTCTAAAACTTAAATGAGTCTTATTTGTTTTGCATTTAATTTCAGGGTTCTGATTTTAACCAACTGGTTATGATTATATTTGCCAAAACTAGAGTTAACTTCTCTTTTCTTATGCCCTTGTTTCCCTATCCCCTACTCATACCGAGGCTTAACAACCTCAGATCTCATCCAATGAACAGAAACAAATGTTAAGCAACTTGTCATCTCACTCATGATTTGTTTATGATAATTGTCTCTTCAAGTAAGCAAAAAAACATTAGCAGTGTAATTAATTTACCAACGATAGCGCTGGGCGCAGTGGCTCACGCCTGTAATCCCAGCACTTTAGGAGGCCAAGGCGGGCAGATCACAAGGTCAGGAGATCCAGGCCATCCTGGCCAACGTGGTAAAACCCCGTCTCTACTAAAATACAAAAAATTAGCCAGGCATGGTGGCACGCACCTGTAGTCCCAGCTACTTGGGAGGCTAAGGCAAGGGAATCACTTGAACCTGGGAGTCGGAGGTTGCAGTGAGCCAAAATCACACCACTGCACTCCAGACTGGCAACAGAGTGAGACTCCGTCTCAAAAAAAAAAAAAATTTACCAGTGATCCCCAACATGAAATACTAAATCCTCCTATGGGAAATTACTGTGCTCTCTTCTGTATGACTTATAGTCAAATAAGTCTCAAATTCATTTCTCTGTATAGATCTTTATATGCTAGTTGTTGTTGATTTTGATGAGTCAATTTACAAACTGGAATCTTCAAAAAATTCTGAAAGACTAATTGTTTCCTGTGCCATATAAATGCATTACCACTGAGCAAATGAACCTTATTCTCAACAGGAACAACTAGCATCCATGTTCTGAATTCTGACAATGCTAAATTAAATTCAGGTCCAGGAAGATCATCTGGAATTAATGGTGTCTCAGTAGGCAGGCATCATTCCCACCCCGTGGTCTTAAGGAGGTAGAAGCTCCAGAGCCACACTGCAGAGAACAGCAAGTTTTGTCTCAAGCCAGACAAGGTCTGGTGGCCTTGGCCTTGTGCAAAGTAGGGTGACATATTTGATTATCTTTCTCTTTGCCTCCATAGCAGTCAGTCCAGCAGCACAGACTGCAGGAAGCTAAATGGAACAACATACTTAGCTGTAAAGTGAGCAAATGAATTGAGCCTAGGAATCTGTGATGAAAATGCATGGCTGATGTTTCCTGAACTGCAGGGAGACTCCCATCTGCTGAAGTTTTGCATGCAAAGAAAGCAGCTACAGCAGAAAATACAAGAATACCTTTAAGTTGATTATTGGCAATCTTATTCATATATTAGCAGGAAAAATGGAGAGATGATTATTGGTGGATGCTATAGAGTCCTCTGTTTTTAAAAGTACCATGTCTGAGCCAGGCACAGTGGCTCATGCCTGTAATCCCAGCACTTTGGGAAGCTGAGGCAGGCAGGTCACCTGAGGTCAGGAGTTCGTGACCAGCCTGGCCAAGATGGCAAAACCCTGTCTCTACTAAAACTACAAAAATTAGCTGGGCGTGGTGGCAAGCACCTGTAATCCCAGCTACTCAGGAGGTTGGGGCAGAAGTACTTGAACTCGGGAGCTGAGATCGCGTCACTGCACCCTGGCCTGGGTGACAGAGCAAGACTCTGTCTTGGGGGAAAAAAAAACCATGAAGGATGGGTACTAGAGTCAGTAATAGAAGTAGTTCAGCATTATTTAACTACAACACAATGCTGCAAATATTTCACAGTAATTATCAAAATTTAATGGGCTCTAATTTAAAATGTTCTTTAATAAGTATAGATTTTAATTGAGAATTATCTTTGAGTAGATGTAATCACAAAGTGCATTAACTCTTGTTGGAATATTTTATGGCTATTCCAAAGTATAGAGTGCCTAAATTTTGTGTTGAAAATGTCTTTCATGACGGTATTAAGTTTTCTGAAATTATACATGGCTTTTAAAATTTCTAATGTATCCAAGATGTGCAATGTTGTTAGGATCTCATTTTTCAATGCATGAAAGCTTCCCACCTCAGAACATTCTGTGTTAATTGTACCTGCAAGAACACCTCAGGCAAGCCAAGAAGAAATGAAACCCAAATAAAACTTGAAAATGCACCTTAAAAATATATATACATCCAATAGTTTTTAAATAGGATTCTGCTTTATTTTGACGGAATGGCCATTAAATACACATTTTGAGATAATACATTGTTGTGTTTCTTTATACGTTATCTTGTTGGGTCATGGTAAAAGTATATTGATGAAGGAATTATGATGCTTTATACTCCTTACTGCACTAACTTGATAGAACTAGTGCTTGTCATAGTTGGTTCTGTCTCTGCTTGCATGACTAAATAATTGCCTTTCCAGAAAGATGTTTTTGCCTCAGAACTTACTGACAAGCCGAGAGGCTATGAAGATGGAAATCTGTGAAAGAAGTAGTGCTCTTATGTTTGGCCTCATCATTTGGGCCACTTAAGTATAGTAATGATACCACTAATTGGAATTAGCAGGAAAGGGAAGTAAGCCAGGAAGAATAAAACTGCTGAATGTTTGTATGTATATTTCCAAAGATTCTAAATAAATGTAGTTGCCTACAGAGCAAATGGAGTCTTATTATATATGAGAAAGTATACTTTCTGCATCTAATTGTGCTTTTTCTTCAGCCTTTTGTTCCCTCAAGCAAAAAAAAAAAAAAAAAAAAAGTCCAACTTTTCATAAGGTTTTTGGTGTCCTATTAAAATCTGGAATTCATGGCCAGGCTTGGTGGCTCACACCTATAATCACAGCACTTTGGGAGGCTGACGCAGGTGGATCACCTGAGGTCAGGAGTTCAAGACTAGCCTAGCCAACATGGCAAAACCCCATCTCTACTAAAAATATCAAAATTAGTAAGGCATGATGGTGGGCACTTGTAATTCCAGTTACTGGGAGGCTGAGGCAAAAAAATCACTTGAACCCAAGAGGCAGATGTTGTAGTGAGCCGAGATCGTGCCATTGCACTCCAACCTGGATGACAAAATGAGACTCTGTCTCAAAAGAAAAAAAAAAAAAGAATCTGGAAACCATTAGTAGCTGTCTCATGTATTGATTGCCAGCTATGTTGCTGGATGTTAGGACAGATGCGTTATAGGCCGGGCATGGTGACTCACACCTGTAATCCCAGCACTTTGAGAGGCCAAGTCAGGTGGATCACCTGAGGTCAGGAGATCAAGACCAGCCTGGCCAACATGGTGAAACTCCATCTCTACTAAAAATACAAAAATTAGCCAGGCATGATGGTGCATGTCTGTAGTCCCAGCTACTCAGGTGGCTGAGGCAATAGAATGGCTTGAACCCGGGAGGCTGAGGTTGCAGTGAGCTGAGATTGTGCCATTACACTCCAGCCTGGGCAACAGAGCAAGACTCTGTCTCAAAAACAGACAAACATTTAAATAGGTTACACATCTATAAATATGGAAATGTATAAGAACAAAATATAGATTTTTTGGCGAATGCCTGGGGAAGAATGGTGTCAGTTAAGTTCATCCAAGGTAAAACGTACCAGCATCTGTGCTGCCAGGGCACAGTCAACATTTGGGGACAGAGGTAAATATCCTCAGTCCATGCCATCCCTTTGATTTCTTCTTTTAGTGCCTGATAACCATCTGGTGCTGCTAGACAGTTCTCTTCTTAAATTCTTCTGATTCCATTTTAAATTCATAGATTGCCTACAACCTCCTGAAATGTCAGTGACTTTGATAGCTGTAGCTCGAGGAAACTTTTCTTTGAGAATTTGGGTCACGTTGAGCAGCCCCTCAGTCTGGAAGGCAAACATCCGATGGACACAGTGGAGAAGAGGAAACCCACGGATCCCGCAGAGCAGAGGTGCTGCCGCAGCGGGGCTCCATGCCCAGCCAACCTCTAATGATTCTTTCCTGGCCCTTTCATGTGTGTGCAGATGAGTATTTGACAAAGAGGCGATCTCCATAGCTCTCTCACTCTGCAGCTCCCCCTGTACAGACTCGACACGTTCTAGCCAGCTTGGTTGGCCTCCCTGAGCATGGATCTCTTTCTCCTCTACTCATGAACTCTGTGTGAGTTTCCCCTTCCGGAGTGTGGCATGGATACTGCCTCAGGGATAAAACTGGGACAGCTGTAGAATTTACCTTGTTTTCCTTCCTACAGGGATCAAAATCCTGTGCTGCCTGTTGTCCAATGTGTGAAAGTGTTTCCTATATTATGCCCATTTTTCTAGTTGTTCACGACAGTGGGAGAGCAATTCCCAGAGCACCTTATCGTTCATGCAGAAGCAAAAGTCCTGTATCTTCGATGCTAATAGGAATAAATGTCTCACGATATGATTATTCGATTTTCTGTAAGCATTTTACACTTAAGGAAGCACTCTACCAGTAAGCTCCCTGGTTTCTCCTAACTTCTAGAATTGAGAGCCAATTTGACTCAGTCGTTGACATCCTTCCCCCACCCCATTCACAGCCACACCTGCCCAGGTGACCTAGGAAAGGTACCCCCTCTTTAGGAATATTCATGATCAGGATCAGAACTACAGCCTTCTTATCCTGGGAGATCAAGCAACATTTCCTTTCCTTACAGCATTGGTTTTCAAGTTTCAAAGTAAGCATCTGAAACAGTTGTTTCATGAACCATACCTAAGTCTTCATTCTTTTAGACAGAGTCTCGCTGTATCGCCAGGCAGGACTGCAGTGGCACATTCTTGACTCACTGCAACCTCCAACTCCCTGGTTCAAGCAATTCTCTTGTCTCAGCCTTCCAAGGAGCCAGGAATACAGGCACGAACCACCATGCCCAGCTAATTTTTTGTATTTTTAGTAGAGACAGTGTTTCACCATGTTGGCCAGGATGGTCTCAATCTTCTGACCCCGTGATCTGCCCGCCTCAGCCTCCCAAAGTGCTGGGATTACAGGCATGAGCCTCCGCATCCGGCCTCTTTATTTTTTTGAGACAAGGATCTTGCTGTGTTGCCTAAGCTGGCCTCGAACTCCTGGGCTCGAGCAGTCCTTCCACTTTAACATCCTGTATAGTTGAGACTGCAAGTGCACGCCACCTTGTCTGGCACAACTAAAATTATTTGCACCCAATTTTCTTCTTAATTTTATATTGTATTTATATTTTTTCTATTAAAGTCAACCAGAACAGTGAGACCTTTTTGAACACAAAAATTTAAATTTAGGTTATAGTCTCAGTTGTATGCCAGCCTAGTGCAAATGTTAAGTTTTTGACAGCTTGACTTTCAATCTTCAGATGCTCTATATGTAAGTAAAGACAAAAAAAGAACATTTCACTCTCTGCACAATCCCAAGAGAAACCGACATTTGGAAGAGTCGTTTGTGTGTGTGTGACAGTGTGA